ATAATAATGTACATGAAATATATATAAATACGTGCTGGTTTCCATAATAAAACTATCTGTTTCCGGCCCTTGTCTTCTGTTGTTACAGTGGTAATTGTTTTTACAGGATGGGGTTGCTAGCCTCATGCCCAACCTCTCCACTTTACCCAGTCTCTCTACTAGCTTAGCGAGGTAAAGGAAAGCGTCAGTGGCTGGGGATCGAACCCCGGACCATATGCATGGTCGGCGAGCGTCCTAACCGCTGTGCCACCGACGCTACACCATTGAAATGGGTTTGTCTAATTTTGAGTTGATTGCAATTTAGTCCGAATGTCAGATTTTAACAAATCCAGTTGCTACCCTTAAATTTTCACATTTCAAGATGACAACGAGTTGGGCGTCCGAGGGTGACATGGAGGAGATCGTGTGAAGAGAAGATAAGAGCTTCTAAGCAATCGCAGATAATAGGATATGAAGTGGAGACACGCTAGTAAAGTCCTACGTTCCACTAGAAACCCAAGGGAATAAAATAACATGACAACATGAAACATGAAACATGAAGATTTAATGAATCTGGGTGCACTTTTGCTTGTGAGAACGTCTTTGAGTCATATTAATAACAGTCTTAAGCCATTGGTTTCTTAGTGTCTTAAGAAATCCAACTGCGTTTCTAGTAGAATGCAATGACTGAAACTCTGTCCGACTGCAGAAACATCCGTCTGTCTGTCTGTTTTCGACATAGAACTTTGCACAAATGTGCGGAAGTTCAAGTCGCCACACTCCATGTAGCACACAAAGTAAGAGAAGAAAGTACAAGAAAAGCATAATAGAAACAGTAAACAGAGGTGTGAGACAAAGGAAGAGTAATAACGAAGAACAAAACAGTTTCATTAGAAATCATAAGTCACAAGGAGTGGATGCATCTGCGCCACTGAGAACGATTTTGAGCCATGTCACCAATTGTTTCCAACCATTTGTTTTTACCGTCCCGAGGACCCCAACCAGTCAGGAAGTCTACACCTTCCTACGTGGTTTAGACTAACTGTTGTAGATTTCATTGACTGGTGCCATGTTTTTGTTTGACCGCCACTGGCTCTTTTCCAGCCTGACTCTATATCCGCTAAAATTGCCCGTCGAGGAAGGCGATGACTAGGCATACACATGTCCTAACCATCTCAGTCTTTGTAACTTCACAACTTCGTCGAGTGATTTCCCCTGTTTATCTAGAACTCGACGCCTAACCTCAATATTGCTCACCTTATTATAGCACTTCACATGGGAGATAGAACGCAGGCACCTATGATCAAAGACAGCTAACCTTTTCATGTCTTTCGCTTTCAATGGCCAGGTCTCACAGCCATAAAGGAGGACAGAGTGGACTGATGGGCAGTAAACCCGCCCTTTGGTCGATAGTCGAATATCTCGTCTACGCCAGAGACGGCGTAAACTGGCAAATGCGAAACGAGCCCTCTGTATCCGTGCTGAGATTTCGTCAGAGATCAACCCAATGACGCTGGCTGATGTTACTTTCCAAATAAGTGAAGCGGTCAACGTGCTCTACCACTTCATTCCCTATTTCTAATCTAGGAGTCGCTGCAGTCCAGTCTTGTAACATCATCTTGCATTTGGCGGGAGCGAATCGCATGCCAAACATTCGTAGATTGCAGATGGAGGTGTTTAGAAGACTCTGCATTTTGTCAGCGTCTTCACCTAGAACGACTATATCGTCTGCACATTCTAAGTCAACGAGATTATTCCCTGGTAGCAAGTCAATCCCTGAGTCGCTGAAGTCACTTAGGGTTATGTCCCATTAGTACATCTATGACGAAACTGATTAGAAAAGGGAATAATGGGCATCCTTGACGGACACCACTAGTTGTCACCACTTCAGATAACAACTCGCCGTAAGCCCTCATCTGGCTGCATGAGTAGGAGTAGAGTGCCTTAAACAGTGGAATGTATTTTCTCGGCATTCCCTTTACAGCCAAGCATCGCCAGAGTACCTCTTGGTCGACACAATCGAATTCCGCATTTAGGTCAAGAAATGTAACGATTGTTGGACGCCGTTAGGAATGCCCATGTTCAATAATCTGTCGAAGGGTGAATATATGATCAATACACCCTCTTCCTGGTCTAAAGCCTGCCTGTCTCTCTCGTGTTTGTGCCTCCCGAGCACCACTTAGTCTACGCATTATTATTGAGCCTAGGACTTTAGATACTATATTAGTCAAGCTAATCCCTCTGTGATTATCACAGGAAGACTTGTCTCCCTTCTTGTATATGGGGATAATCAGTGACTTACACCAACCCGATGGTACTTCTTCTGATTCCCAGACGCTGCCTAGTACCTCAGTTAATGCAGACAGTAAACTGTCTCCACCGTATTTAAATACCTCTGGCGTCATTCCATCAGGTCCCGCTGCTTTGCCTAGTTTCAGATTGGTGACAGCTTTAGTAACCTCAGTTAGGGAAGGGGCACCTGTGTCTATATCCCATTCGGGTGTGTGCTGGATGGCGGGGAGGTTCAGTGTGGCTGTAGGCAGGTTGAATTGTTCCTCAAAGTGTTCTTTCCAGCGTTCGAGGCGTCTGTCCTGAGAGCTAATTAAGCAGCCATTTTTCTCAGAAATAGTCTCACTTATGATTTGCCTTCTCCCTCCCGTTTCCCTGATGAGTCTAAATAGTTGCCTAGTGTTGCCTATCGCCGATGCTTTTTCCATCCCTTTCGCCTTTGTTACCCACCACTGTTCACGGTCCTTGCGGAGGCTTTTCGTAAGTTTCCTTCTGTGTAGCTTTCGCTCCTCGTTGATTTCGGAGCTCGCCGGAATAAATCTTCTTGCATCAATCAGTTCGGATGAGGCGGTAGAGATCCAATGGTTTTTACCCACCTTTGGGTTTACCTCATTCACAGCTGCATCTATGGCTGACTGAATATTCTTCCAAGCTTCTTCAGGGTAAGCACAGCTGTCGAACTCAGATATGTGTTTAACTAGTTCTTCCTCAAATAGGGATTTAGTTTCCTGATCGAGCTGGGGACGTGATGGTTTTACCGCCAGCTAGAAACATCCGTTGTTTATTTACGGATGTTACGGAGAAACATCCGTAAATAAACACCACTTGAAAATGTGTTGCTAAAAGGAAAGGGAAAGAACATTCCCTGCTGCCTATCTGAGAATAGCCTTTACTAGTAGACTATTACTGTTCAATAACCTGAAGGACAAGATCCCGCTGTTGACCAACTCTCTGAGTGTTTATCAATTCACCTGCTCGTGTGGAGCTAGGTATGTCGGTCGTTCGACTCGAGTTTCGTTCAAGAGGATGCAAGAACACTATCCTGCATGGTTACGAAGAGGTGGAAGTGGAGCAATAAGAAGCGCGACCATTGTATATCTAGTCGTTAATGATCACCCTATCTCTACAGCCTCTGCCTTTAAAGTCATGTACAAGGCAAAAAGTAATTTTCCGAAATCACTATGTACCCGACTCATCTGTATTGCTGAAGCTTAAGCTATCGAAAGAGGAAAGCCAGAGCTCTGTGCACAGAAAAAGTTCGTTCAACCCCTCCAACTTTCATGGTTTTAATCCCTCTATGCCAAAGTATGATAGTCCCTAATTATATTTTGACTCTACCTGGGTTTCCAGTGGGAAGTCGTGACCAGTAGGGTGCAGTAGGTCGGGTGTGAGGACAAATACTCGCCGAAGACATTGGCTAGCGGTTGCGCTATGTCGTGAATTGGCAGAATTCATGGGCTGGCCATTGGATCGAGTCCCTGTGGCTCAATGGTCTACGAGCTCGCCTTGTAACCAGAAGGTCCTGGGTTCTAATCCCGTTGGGTGCGTACTGCTGAAGAGTCCTAAACTAGGACGAAACAGCAGTCCAGTACTCCCAGGTTTTCCAGTGGTTCTCTAACCAATGTCAGCTCATGATGAAATCCTGTAACCAATCAAGTAAATCCCTACAAACCAATACTTGAATTTTTCACTTCGTCTATTCAATTTGTATACTCTTCCTTTATTACGTCAACTGTTACTATTACTGTTCTCACTTTGAACTGCCCCCGGTTTTATTTCACTTGTCTTTCTAAATCAATTCTTTTTTTACAACGTTAAATTCTACGCTATCAAATTCCACACAATATTACGTAACGTTTTTATTTTATTCGATTTGTCTACTAATCCTATCATGGTACACCCTTTTTCAAGTTCTATCCATCCTATGAATTATTCTATATATGAGTGGATGCAGTGGCGCAGATGCATCCACTCCTTGTGACTTATGATTTCCAATGAAACTGTTTTGTTCTTCGTTATTACTCTTCCTTTGTCTCACACCTCTGTTTACTGTTTCTATTATGCTTTTCTTGTACTTTCTTCTCTTACTTTGTGTGCTACATGGAGTGTGGCGACTTGAACTTCCGCACATTTGTGCAAAGTTCTATGTCGAAAACAGACAGACAGACAGACTATATATGACATTAATTTGTTCTGCCACTTGACATTTAACTATGATTATAATCACAAACATTTTAGTTTTTTAATTGCATTTCATACTACTATTATTATTATTTTATGCATTCACACCTATGTTTCAATTCCCTCACCGGATATAACTTCTTAAAAACCATATATATATATATATATATATATATATATATATATATATATATATATATATATATATACGATTGTACAGCTTGATGATAAATTCGTTGTTGAAAAGAGTCTCTTCGCTGAATCATTACTTGTTTTGATTTCCTATATGTTACAATGGGAATTTTCCATGAGTTGAAAAAATAACAAAGAACTTAATTCCGATACCTACTGGGCAACAGACATATGAAGGAAGACCATTTTTCGTCAAAAATATGTTTTGCATAATAATGAATATTAACGCATAAATGAATACAGGCAACGGGATAATCAGTCCTCTGTTATAATTATAAGAAAAATAAATAAATAAAAGGATTCATACTGTGATTAAAAACATAAGGTAAGGTAAGGCGAGGCGAGGCGTTGAGTTACTTTTATAATGTGCAGTGTACAATCGGAGAAACAACTTGAATAAGACCATATTGTCCAACAGTCCACCAGTCTTTGTTTTTATTTTGTAACTCAGCCAAACAATCATGATTAACACCGACAGCCACATCTGATTTGGCTATTCGAAGAGATACTACCATTGGACCACATGAACAATCAACAATAGGACTCCCAGGTTCCAAATTTGCCAACCTTTCTGAACATTTACAACTTGATGGCCTACCGATTTGTACTCGACCGAAAGCATTCACTTTATCCTCTGGGCTATCAGGTTTCCATTGACGATCACCCACCATTTTACGGTAATTTAGGTCACCCTGAAAAAAAAAACAGACGAAGTGAAATTATTGTGAGAATAATTAAAACGCACTTCTTCGACAGATAATAAATTTTCAAGTAGGCCAATAAAAGTAGTATTAGAACAAAATTGTAGGTAAGAATTCCCTTATATGTAGTCGTTTTAGTAGTTTCGTTTTACTTAGACAATCAGTTACAATTATGCTCTATTCGCATTGCTCACTTCACGCATCCAAGAGACATAAGTAACGCCTTCAAAGTGGTCATATTCTAATGTCTATAGTTCACCTTACTGCCTGTCTGTCTGGAAGTGTCCGGACGGTTGTTACTTCCCGGCTGCCCACACCGTGGAAGTTGCTTGATTCTTCGGGTACCTCAAACAGAAAGAGGGTTAGTGTTGCGTGAGCAAAGAGCCCAGAAGACAACTGCTTGAGGTCGGTCACACAACACGGCCCGTATGAACTGGTTTCTTGGTTTGGTTCCGTATTAGTAAACTTACCGCCGGTTACGGACCACCATAGGGTAAGTCAGGATGTACAATTTTTGGGGTCTACCTTTTTTAACCCCTTCTCTCTAGAGTGGAGAGACAACATAGCCGGCTGGCATGCTGGTTATCTGAGGGAAACACCTCACTGCTGTTACATCCCTGTTCCGCAGCAGTACGACCTCACCCACAGACCCCCAGAATAGTGTAAGAAAGATTCTTACACTAAGCCGGTAACTGCTTTTAGTCTAATCGCTATCCTAACAACCTTCCTGGCATGGTAGGACCTGCAGGAGCATTGGTTCCAGCCAGTGCAGCTTGTTGGGTCATCGCGATGTGCAAGCCCAACCACCACGTCAAGGTAGCAGCTATCGGTCGGGAGTTCACCTTACAAGTAAAACAAGGGTGAACGGTTAATAAGTGTAGTCAAGCATCATATATATAGGGAGAGAGAGAGAGAGTTAACGATACTGCCTTGCTGTAGGTGTCGTGAATCGCGCATTCATGAAGCAGGATAAAAGTAAGGTTGTTAGACCGATACACCATAGCTTCATAAACACATATATGAATGGTAAATGCTTGGAACCTCTTACAAAACTATCACGATTGCGGTGATACTACCTGCCAGCTCATTTCAAACAAGGTTGTGAGCTGAATTAAAACGTGCAAATACGACAAACACTTAAGCTGTTAATTTAATCATATTTTCAAGTATTGGTTTTGTAGGGATTTCGTTTGATTGATTGATTTTCATCATGAGGTGACATCAGTTAGAGAACCACTGGAAAATCAACTGGGAGTACTGGACAGCTGTTTCGTCTGCCTAGTTTGGGACTCTTCATCAGTACGCACCCACCAGGGTTCGAACCCACAACCTTCCGGTTAAAAGGCGACCTCATAGACCATTGAGCCATTGGGACTCGATTCGATGGCCAGTCCATGAATTCTAACTTCTGCCAATTCACGACAGCGCGACCATTTCGCAATGTCTTCTTCGGTGAGTTACTGCCTCATCTTCAACCTGCTGTACCCCACTGGGTGACACGGGTTCGAATCTGAGAAGGGACATGACTTCCTTCAAGGTTCCAGATACACCTTGCTGACCAGTGAGTGCCAACTAACACGAAACCTAGGTCAAGCAAGGCTTCCTGTGGCCGATTGCCTCCAACCATCTAATATCATCAAATCAATGTGCACCGTGATGGCAAGCTACCTATAATGGTGGCCACATAGCAAACCTGATAGATAGATTTCAGTCTGCACCAAAGAAAGGACTAGGCACGTCACACTAGTTACTAGTGTCCAAACAAAATAACCAACTCTATACTGAATCAAATAAACATCATAAAATAAGTTGTTAAGACAGCGTAAGTTTCACCTTCGTATTCTTATCTACACAATAAACCGACGAAATCGAAAATGACTGATGTAAATCATACATTACCTTGGTGTAAACTTATAGCTTTTAGCATGAGTCATGTAATCTACCTAGGTGGGAAAACAGAATACATAAACCAACCGGAATTATGATCTGTCACGATGATACTGTCTTCTACAAACCCTTACTTTACTTTTTACTTTACTTCGGCTATCTCCTACGGGAGGATGAGCCGGCTTCATGAACGTCTCGAATCATCGCTGCCCAGGCGCGGCAATTTGTAAGAGAGTTCATGAAGTTTCATGGGAATTTGGTACGAGTGATGTCCCCAGCATCGCAAACCCTCACACTCCCTAAAATCTATCATCTATTCCCTTCCCACTAAACTCTTCTGGCTGATTTCCTCTTTTCATAATGTCGTGAACTGCTAAGACTCAAATTGATGGGCACCATTATGAGACTTTAGGTTCTTGTCTATTTAATATATCTTAACGAATAATCACCACATATATGTCCAAACCAAGTTCACTTTCAACAGTTTGAAAAAAACTTGGGCATTGGGTATATGATATTCATTATAATAGAGGTTTTCTTGTATTTCCCAATGAATGAAAAACAAAACGATATTGCTGATTTTACTAACGTTTCGCTACTTTATGCTGCTGCTAATAGGTTTATCAAAGTATTATTTAACCAGAATTTACAAAATCTCAGCTTACACATATAACAACTTAATCATCGTTCCTCAAGTATGCGGTCACTTTTGCGTTGTCAAATTGGCCAATTGGTAAAGATAACAAAACCAGGTGTAGATTGTTGGATTTTATAAGTGTATAAAATAAACAGTCTATCTCGCAGAATCCAGTTTACTTCGGAAGCAGAATCAGACATCGGTGAACTACCATTTCTAGCTAAGAGGAGGCAAAACAAACATTTTAGTATTTCTATATTCAGAAAGAAAACCCAGCTCAGTAAATTATTTAGACTTCGGATCATCACACTCCATCAACGCAAATATTTCAGTTGTTTCAAGTCTTCTTAGACGAGCACACTTTGATATTAACGGATGAGAAGGAAAAAGAAGAAGAAGAAATATCAAACATTACCAAGACCCTCAAGAGAAACAACTACCCAAAAAACTTCACCAATAAAATCAACACTGACATTGAGTATGGTCAAAAATGCATTCCAAAAACATGGACCTCAACAGTTGTCATTCCACAAAGAGCAGAGACGTCAGACGACATCAAAACAGTACTCAATAACCACATAACATCAGTTTTCTTCAAGACATCAGACACACTGCGAAACAACCTTGTCCATGTAAAAGACCAAATCCCTAAAGATTCTCTATTTAATTAAGTCTATAAATTAAAATCCCTGGAATGTGATGCAATATACGTCGAAAAAACATCTTGAGAAATCCAAATCCGAAGAAATAAACACCGTAGAGGGAGTGTCTGCCCGACCGCCGATAAATCCAGCTGAACTAAAAGAGCTTGAAAAACCATCAGCAATAGCTAGTCTACACTCTACAGAATCAGGCCACAAAACTGATTTCGACAATATTGAAATTATCCGGAAAAATTTCAGAAACCACAGATTACGTTTAACGTTACCAGAAGCACTTCATATCAAATGGAATCAAAATTGCCTGAATAGGAGTGATGAACTAAAACAGGATTTGACCTGGTTACAATACACGCCTCCCCCACGAAGTGATAAAATCAACACGAATGTGATAAAGAATTTCATTATGTAAACACACTCTGCTTTTACAATTTTTCACACTTATTAAATTCAACAATCTACACCTAGTTTTGTTATCTTTGCCAACTGGCCAACTTGACAACACAAAAATGCCCCCATGCTGAGGAAGGATGATTAAGTTGTTATATAATATAAGGTGAAAGATTTATCCGCAAATGAGGAGACACCAGAATGTGAGTCGGTGGCACAGTGGTTAGGACTCTCGCCGACCATGCACATGGTCCGAGGTTCGATCCCCTGCCGACTCATACCTGATATCTATGGTCGGCCTGCAAAATCTAGGCTACCGATATCCATGCTGAAAATTCCATACTTGTACCGAAAATACAGTGTGGAAACATTCTGTAATCAAAAAATAAAAAAATAAGCTGAGATTTTGTAAATTCTGGTTTAATACTACTACTTTGATGAAGCTATTAGCAGCAGCGTTGAATAATGAAACGTCAGTAAAATCGGCAATATCGTTTTGTTTATCATTCATTGGGAAATACAAGAAAACCTTTATTATAATAATCAACATACTTAAAAATAAGTTACCTTGAATATAATTAAATCATAATTTTTTGATAAGTCTTCATATAGTGTAGCATCAGCTGTTTGCATCTGATCATATGCATAAGGCATAGTCCAGAAGGAAGAAGTTTTAAACTGGAAAGTTCTCTCCTCAACCCGCTTTCTCCAAACTTCAGACCATTTTATAATCGAATGAATTTGTTGATCATTACAAGCTTCTTTTAATTCCAAAGGGTTAACATTCAATAACCAATCAAAATCTTTACGAGTAACGTCTGAAACAAACCATGGCATACATTTTCCATAAAATGAAACACTGTCAGCGCAGTTTTTGTTTGCTACAAAATACTCAGCCAGACACAAATCCGCCAGCAATTCGGGGCCTGCATTATCAAGTATGATAGCAACACGAAGTTTACGGCTATGATTCTTTAACTTCATACAGAATTCATGAATTGCATCTTTATCATTTACGACTGTCCGCTCTTCGGTATGCTTGATGTAATCTGAAATTTGATCGAATCCAGTTTGCTGAAATTCGCCATCAGGACGGAGAGATAAATCATATTCGTTCGCCCATAAAGATGACTGGAAGAAATACAATACAGTAAATATAATCTTTAACGTCTAACTACTATTAGCATACTACTTAAACGAGAAACAATGCAATAGAGGGGCGATTCGAATTTACATACTAACACTTTTAGGCTAAAATAAATGAGTGATTAATAGCAAGTTTATCAAAGTCACCTTGCTTCTGACTGACTGGTTTCAACATAGAACTTTGCACCAATGTGCAGCAGTTCGAGTCGCTACACCTCACTCAGCACACAAGGCCAGAGAGGAAAGTAAAAAGAAACACAAAATGACGACAGTAAACAGAGATATGAGGCAAAAAGAATAGTAATATGGAAGAACAATATAGTTTCATTGGAAATTATAAGTCACAAGGAGCGCTTGTATCTGCACCAGCCATTGAGAACGATTTGGAGCCATATCACAAATTGTCTCCAGCCTCCACTGATTTTTACCATTCTGAGGACCCCAACCAGTCAGGAAGTCTACACTTCCCGACATCACTGGCTGGCTGGCTCAAACTAACTGTTGTGGATTTTATTGACTGATGAAGCTATGTTTTGTTTTGACCACAAATGGCTCTTTTCCAACCTCACCGATCCTATGTGAGCTAACATTGCCCGTCGATGAAGGCGATGACTAAGCATACATGTCCTAACCATCTCAGTCGATATAACTTCACAGCCCCATCGATTGATTTACCCTCCCACCTACCTAGCACCCGACCGAAGCCTAACCTCAATACTGCTCACCCTATTATACCATTTCACATGGGAGATAAAACGCAGGCACCTATGACCAAAGACAGCTAGCCTTTCCGTGTCTTCTGCTCTCAATGACCAGGTCTCACAGCCATAAAAGAGGACGGAGCTTCACTGACACGTCAGTTTAGAACTTAGTATAAAAGTAAATTAGTTTAGTTTACCACACTTCGGGATGCAGCAATTAAAAGTAGAGAAAATTAATGTGATAGTGGGCTAAGATGCAGGAGGAGAGTATAACTAAACGAAGGTTAACTACATTTTCATGACCTCGAATATGACAAGCAGTAAACACAATGTCACACTAGTAAACGATCCCGAGCTACATCAGTCTACGCCTACCTATAAGGCTTGGACCAACAGTCATTGACTTTATAAACTATGTTTTATCTTAAACCCCACTGAGCACCGGTTGTCAAGCAAACCATTAGTTTTGTGTGCGTAAGACATTGTAAATTGCTTAACCAACAGAAATTAACAATCTTACCCTTCTCATTTACAGTTTTGCCTTTCAGGCTGGAAATGGTAAAGTCATACTACAACTGACAGGCATACTGAAACGTTACTTTTACTGGAACAACTGTTTAAAGTCTGATCATCCGTTAGTGAGTATTAGGTTTGTTATCATAATAATCGTCGTTTTAAATAGGTGGATGAGAGTGAAGCAGTTTTATTTATTGTCGTAAATAAACACTGAACCGAGGCTGATTTAAGTATAGCTATAAATTCATCAAACAACACAGACCAACATTATGAGACTTCATATAGCTGCTTGGATATTAACAACATTCAACTAAGAAACAATGATATTTAAATATTGATTTGTAGGGATTGGACAGATTGGTTACAAGATTTCATTATGAGCTGACATGGGTTAGAGAACCACTGGAAAACTTGGGAGTACTAGACAGCAGTTTCGTCAGCTAACGATGAAATCCTGCAAACAATCAACCTAATCCCTACACAACCAATACTTGAATATCAATGAGATGCTCACTGGCGACTGGCCCTATTCAGGTAGGTAGTTACCTGGGGTTCTAGTGGGAAGTCGTGACCAGTAGGGTGCACCAGGTCGGGTGTGAGGACATACACTCGCCGAAGACATTTGCTATCGGTTGTGATATGTCGTGAATTGGCAGAAGTTAGAATTCATGGGCTATTGGATCGGGTCCCACTAGCTTAATGGTCTACGAGCTAGCTCGCCTTGTAACCAGGTGGCCTTGGGTTCGAACCCTGGCGGTGGGTGCGTACTGATGAAGAGTCCGAAACTAGAACGAAGCAGTTGTCCAGTACTCCCAGGTTTTCTAAGGATTCTCTAGCCAATGACAGCTCATGATGAAATCCTGTAAGAAGCAATGAGTTTGACAAACTATTTAATGTAAATATTTTGAGCATGGAACTGCAAAAGTTCTAAGAAATGTTATTGGAGTCTACAACATGAGAATAAGTCTAACCACCTGGGCCACCAGTAGTAGTAAAATGGTACTGTAATAAGATAAGCGACGCTATCTCGGAGACCAGTCTTACCAGACTAGAAATGTGTCACCGATATTTGATAACCTCAGGGTTCGCTAGGAAAGATGATGAATTGGTCGATCAATATCATAGCAACATGAGATGAAGGACAGGTGTATTGGTTTTGTATCTGTCAACGCACAGGAACTCCTCGGATATACTCATTACGATCATGGTAGTCAAAGATACCAATACGACTTAGGAAATCAGTCAGTGGCCATTAGATGGAAGCATTTTGATACTGCCTGGTGTGAAAAGTTATACAATGTGATTACATTCACTGTTATCGCTTTCCTCTTGTAGACATTATTGCGTCATACGGCACATACCTTGGTGTCCATACTGTTAAAGGTTTGCATTTTTATATTAATAATATTAGTGTAAGGTTGTCGTGAAATGGAACTATTAATGAATAAACCAACACTACACAACACAAAGTTTCAAGGATGAAAAGCTCAAAAATATATAAAGTGTCTGCAGGCGTTAACATCAATCAGACAGAACTAAGCCTGCGAAACTAAGTTTCCTCATTTTAAAACTTTCTTGCCAACTAAATTAACAGTTCTACTGAAATTAGTTAAAACTTAGAATCCCAACGAAACCCACGTGCAAAAAGAAATCGAACGCCTGTCTGGAAGGTAAATCATGAAGTCTTGATAAACTCAAAAGAAGAGAGCTTATGAAAGGTCCAGAGTTCTTGAGACCGCACTGCTTTTTCAAGAAAAATGGGTCAAAATCATTGAGACCACTAAAGATCAGACAGACTCTTAATTTCGAATTACCTTTGAAATACAGCATCCATGATACGTCGGTATAAGTAGCATTCAGCGAAAAGGAATGAAAGATCGTACCAGCACACAGCCAACGTCTGACACTGTGTGTTTTCAGACGACTCAGTCTTCATCCCATAACTCGATAGCAATTGGTTCCACACTTGCAGTTCTGAAGGACTAAACAGAGCTGATAGCAGAAGAGTTAAAGGTTTATTTGTCATTATTTCATATCTTAACTGGCTAACATGTCGTGTCAGTTCCTTTAACTTATTTGATGTGTCCTACAAAACATGCTATTTAAAACTAAAGTGACTAACATCATCAGCATTTTTGCAGTATTTCTCACGGTTTCTGTAAATAGAGTCAATCAACTGGGTTAAGATTTTCGGCCACCTCTCTTGGATTGTATGGAAAGCAAACGCACTAGAGCCCACTGTCAAGGAAAACAAAAAACCCACCTATTGTTAAACGTTATCTTTGGGGTTAGCATATCTGCTACCGAATGCAGGAAAATGACTACAGACAGCTTTCAGTCGATATTGGCTGTTGATGGTAGAGGACAAAAACCACGGCGGAACGGCCTTGAAAAAGTCAGTATTATTCTCCAAGGTGGAATGTGGCGGCTTAGTATAAAAAAGTTTTTCAAAGGATACATGAATTATGCTGTGTACATTCCTCTAGTTTGTAGCGACAACAGGTTCCAATTTTTAAAAGGAGAGCCTATAAACATGCACCTAGTGCGTCGGTGGCACAGCGGTTAGGACGCTCACCGACCAAGCACACGGTCCGGTGTTCGATTCCTGGCCGACGCGTTCCTTAACCTCGCTAAGCCAGGAATAATGCTGGTAAATAGGAAAAGTTGGGCATGGAGCTAGCAACCCCATCATGTAAAATCAAACACTACTACAGAAACTTCAAGCCAATAGATCGAGGCCCTATGTTCCACTGGGAACGTGTGTGAAACAACTAAAAATATGATTGTACACTTTTTGTTAGCTGTAGAAATTAGAGACATTGTACATGATTTTTGTTCAAAACGATTCTTGTTAAAATACATCTACTTCCGTGTACAATACAAAATACACTATTCTGTTGGAAGCTTCTCTGGCTATTTCTGCCTACTCGCTCCACTCATACCGTGTTGTATACTTTCGATTTATTGCAGGAGTCTATTATCCTTATCCGAAGACAACTCTACAACCGGTCTACAGCATCTACCAGCAGACGCATTCCAACAGTGAACGCTCCCTTGGATTATATTGATAATTTGTAGCCGCGGTCTTTAACGCTATAACTAAGTAACCTTTTCATTAATATAACCCATTGCTGCATTTTTTGATAATATATATTTACCCTATCATCTCATTGACTTGGATTTTTATTTGCATATTTGTAATGTTGATGAGCTCTCCTAATAGTCCCCTACAAATTAATTGGTGAGCCCGTTTAGGACACGGATTATTTTGATCTATTCGTATTCTTATTTTTGCCATTTCGTACATTTATTGACACTTTGTTTGTGGTCTCATATTTGTATCCCGTTTCGCACCAATATTCTCCTTCCTATAATGTCGTCTCCAATACTCGCCTCCATTGCAGACTTAGCGACAACGATTGACAAGTCGGAAACTAATAGGTCTGATCGACGAGTCCAGGGACGGAGTTCACAGGCAAGATCACCATTAAGACAACGATCTCTCTCCCGACAGCCTTCCCACATGTCTTCTAGGGACAGTAATATATGTTGGAACCATAGGAAGTTCGGATGGCATGCCCTGAAATGTGTCAAACCATGCATATTTAGTGAAGATAATCAGGTAGGTGAACGTTTCAGCCAGACAGTGATGGCGACAGCTGTTACTGGCAAGCAAACAAGCTGCCTTTTCTATGCGAAGGGTAAAACTTCAGACATCTTATTCCCGGTAGACACAGGAGCAGAAGTTAGCGTGATCCCTCCTTCGCTATCCAGGCGATCTACACGGACACCAAGAAAACTGTCTCTCCAGGCAGCCAACCACACAAGCATACGGACGTATGGGGAACAATCCCTTATGGTGGATCTAGGTTTACGTCGGCGTTTTACATGGATTTTCATAGTAGCCAACGTCGGTCACGCCATCCTCGGAGCAGATTTCTTGAGTAATTTCAATCTGTTAGTTGTTGTCAACAGTAAAAAACTGATTGATAACAACACCCAACTAGAGATTCATGGAATTATCTCCAGTTACTCTGTTTATAATATCAGCATCGAAGGACCAGCGGATTGCACTTTTCCGCCCTACTCCATCGTTTCCCTAAAATACTTAAACCGTCGTATAACATCGAGGACGTACCTCATACAGTCACCCACAAGATTGTTACCACGGGTCAGTCGGTTCGTGCTCGTCCTCGTAGATTACCCCCTGACAAATTGGCAGCAGCCAAGGCAGAATTCGAACACATCATCAGACCCCCCAATAGTCCTCGATCTTCACCCCTACACTTGGTGCCTAAAGCTGAGCGTGATTGGAGGCCATGTGCGGATTATCGACATTTAAACAACGCCACAGTTCCGGACCGTTACTCGATTCCCCACCTACTTGATTTCTCCCTGACATTACATGGAAAAACCATTTTTTCTGAAGTATACTTGGTCAGGGCTATCATCAAATACCAGTTGCCCCAGAAGATATCGAAAAAACAGCCATCATCACACCTTTCGGTTTGTTCGAATTTCTGCGCATGCCATTTGTCTAAAGAATGCCGCACAATCTTACCAACGTTTCATGGATCAGGTCACCCAAGGTTTAGATTTTGTATCTGTATACATCTATGACATCTTAATTGCAGGCTCGTCGCCTGAAGAACATACAGGTCACCTCACCATCTTATTTCAGCGATTTGAGCAATATGGTGCCGCCATTAACCCCAAAAAGTGCATATTCGGTGTCTCCTCTATACAGTTTCTGAGACACCACATAACCGCGAAAGGCATTAGGCCCACGGAGGAAAAGATAGTGTCCATCAAAAATTTCCCCGAACCAGATTCACTCAAGAAGGTCAGACGTTTCCCGGGGGTGTTTAATTTCTATCGACGTTTTATTCCTTCGTGTGCCTCCATCGTCCAACCTCCAACCGATCTCCTTAAAGTGATCCTAAAAAGTTTTAGTGGTCAGCGCAAGCACACATATCTTTTTGCAACGCTAAAGACGCTTTATCCAAAGTCACTATGCTGTCTCACATTAACCCCGAAGCATCCCTCATTCTGTGCACAGATGCCTCCCAAGTGGCTGTGGGGGCAGTACTACAACGGAAGATGAATGGTGAAGTCACCCCGCTTGCTTTCTTTTCTAAGAAGTTAGAACCGGATCAGACACGTTACAGCACTTTTGGGAGAGAATTGTTGGCTATATATCTAGCAGTCAAGCATTTCAGTTACTTGCTACATGGTCGGCATTTCACTATTTTTACTGACCACAAGCCTCTTTGTTATGCTTCCACTACTGCACTCGATAAACACTCCCCCAGAGAAGCCAGACAGCTGGACTATACCTCCCAATTTTCAACCGACATTCAGTACATCAAAGGGGACACAAACGTGGTAGCTGATTCTCTTTCAAGAAGTGACATAAACCAGCTTCAAACTTCGGTAGACATCAGTCTTGACCATATGGCTCAATTACAAAGAGACGACGCTGAACTCCGAACTTGTCGCGGAAACTCTTCCTTACAGTTCAAGGACGTGTCTATTCCCTTATCAGATGAGACTATAGTTTGCGATGTATCTGCCGGCGCTAATCGTCCGTTTGTTCCTCTCAGCTGCCAAAAAGCCTTGTTCGAACACTTTCATTCGCTTCCCCATCCTGGAGTACGCGCCACGGTCAGACTTATCAGCGAACGCTTCGTGTGGCCTAGAATGAACTCTGACATTCGGAGATGGGCACGAGAATGTCTCCAATGCCAATGCTCCAAAGTACACCGCCACACTATTACAACCCCGAAGACGTTTGAATTACCGGACAAGAGATTTCAGTATGTCCACATAGATATTGTGGGACCATTGCCAATGTCAAGAGGATATACGCATATCCTGATAGCCACTGATAGATTTACTCGTTGGGCTATTGCATGCCCCCTAAGCGAAATATCTGCAGAAAATGTTGCTTTGGTTTTTCTCGACCGTTGGGTGTCAAACTACCAACTACTATTGCATGCTACTAAAGTCCTCAATTCCAGTCGACACTGTTTCGCGAACTAACGAGACTCCTGGGAGTGAAACACATCTCCACAACAGCTTACCATCCGGCAGCGAATGGTCTGGTGGAAAGATTCCACAGACAACTGAAAAGCTCCCTGATGGCACAGAATGATACATCCGAGTGGAGTGAATACTTACCTTTGATTTCACTTGGTATCCGACCTACTATCAAAGAAGATTTAGGATGTACACCGGCTCAACTTGTTTATGTCACCAACCTAACCTTGCCTGGACAACTAGTTATCTCAACTGATTCGACGGACGTGAACAATGCTGATTTCACCAACCGACTAACTAGACAAATGCTCCAACTTCAACCAACAGCAACTCGACAATCTCCCCGGCGAGATCAGACCAACAAACACCTGGTGTCAATGTGGTTGAAGATTGGATGATCAATTCACGATTGTTTGCTCAAACCCAACTCCTCCATATTTTTCGCGGGAGTCATGGATAGTGCAGTCATCGTCTCATCGTTCGCTGTTCAGAGGGAGATAAAAAGCAATCAGAAATCTTGTGTAATAACCTTATTGTTGGTTACGCATTGGCGTAAGAATAAAAGATTCTCGAGTCGCTAATCAGTGTTCTGGTTTTCGCGTTGGTTAATACAAAGTGTTTCTGAAAGTCTTCGAGGGACAGCGTGAGGTCCAGCGTGGTAATAGCTGGACATTGACAGTTAATGAGAGTTGGCTGACACCTGGAAACTTGAAAATTCGTCTTTGTTCGAGTTGACGCCATCAGAAAAGGATTGCGACCCCATGCGAAGGCCCCTTCCAAGTTATTAAGCGTTCAGACAAACACTTCACGGTGAACGGGAATGGAAAACGAGAGACTATTTCGATTGATCAAATCAAACAAGCCTACATAGACAGCGACTTTGAAGTTACATCGACAACTGCACAACCAAATAATTAGACATTCGATTCCACTCCAACGGCACCAAGTCTTATCCTCCCTCCATATCAAGCACGTAGTGGTCGGCGAATCAGTAAACCGACTGGCTACGTTCATTCTGTGGACTGATAAAAAAATTAAAAATTACATTTTATTTCGTTTGGACATTATTATCATGATCGTTAGTATTTCTTCGTGCACTTTGATGTCACTGTTACTGTAAAAGATTGCTATCACCATTATTTACTTATTTATATGTACCTCACCTACAAAACAGCTATTGTGTTTTTCAGAAACTATCGATTTTCAATCCATATTTTTTCTTTTGTCTTTCCCCTCTCTAATTTTTGTATATATACATATCTTTCTTTATACATCAAAAAATCTTCGTTCATGGTTTGTGCAAATGAGAAACCGACCTCATTTAATTCACATGCCCTTCTATTTCAATTTTTGTTGTTGAAATATTCGTACATGCGTTCAGACTTTACATGATTCAAATACCTTTTCGCGTATATGCATGTTATCATGTATCCTTATTTTTATCCTAAAATTGCTATTACTATTATTACACAGTTTTACTTAACATTTTCGGGTAGTCTCTCCGGACCTCTAGGCGGAAGCCGTGTGG